CAAGAAAAGGTTAAGTGCCTCAGTTCCACTTTGGTATGCTGAGAGATTATCCTCTGCAAGATCCATAATTTGTGCATGGCCTGCAATCATTGCATTCCAGGTAACCAAGCTGATAGCTCCTATTCCATTAAACAATTCTCGAGCCTCATTTATCAATCCACATTTGAGGTACAAATACATGATAGAGTTTCTTATTGGCAGGTTCAATTCATAGCCAAGTTTAATGCTTAACGAATGAACCTGCGTCCCCACATCCAAAGACAGCATTAAACAACACAAGCTCAAGACACTGGTTAGGGTGTACTCATTAGGCTCAATGCCCTCAGAGAGCATTTCAGTGAAAAATTTCAAACCCCTTACAGCTTCGCCATTATCACCACAAGCAGATATGGTTGCAGTCCATGATATCACATTTTTTTCTTCAATTTTCTTAAATGCTTTAACAGCGGATTCCAAGGTTCCGCATTTCGAGTATAAACTGCAAAGAGAGTTGCCGATACTAGTGTCAAAGTCAATCTGGTACTTGATACTGTAGGCATGCAATTGCTTCCCTAAGTAAACGGATTGCAAAGAAGAACAAGCATTTAAAACAATTCCTAGAGTGTAATTCGTAGGATAAGCCCCAGCTTCCAACATTTCTTGGAAAACATGAATGGCAACTTCTGGCTGCGAACTGTGAACATAACCTGTCATCAAACTTGTCCACGAAATAACGTTTCTCTTTGGCAAATTGTCGAAAACTTTACGAGCATTTTCCATGTTTCCACATTTTGCATAAACATTGACAAGGAACGTTGAGACAAACAAATCTTGGTGGGTTCCGGTCTTTATGATGTGGGCATGAACAATTTTCGCTTCTGAAGCCGAATTCTTGTCTATACATTCTTGCAAAACAGGGACGTAGTAAGTTGACTCAACATTTTCACCCTCTCTAATCATCGAAAGCGCTTCTCGGAAGTCCAGAGACTTGGGTTCTGAACTTCCATTCAAAGTGGTGACTCTGTGACTTTTCTGATACGACACGTTTGTGCTCTGAGATACCAAATGCAGGTTTAGAAGCAGTAAACCAACAAAAAAAACAAAGTACTTAGTTGGGAAAGCTTTAAATTAGTTGGATGGAATGAAAGCCTTGAATTTAAAGTTGCTCTGCTACTTTTCACAAATCAACTCTTTTCAAATACTGCAGTGGTTTAGCTTTAATCCTAGAAACTACAAGCACCCATCAAAATTCTGTTCACAAAAACAAAGATAGTAGCTTAAAAAAAATATACAAACCAACAGAAGCCCAGAATTGGTTGTCAAAAAGTGAAGAGAGAAAAGATTATGATTACCCTTTCTGAAGGAAGAAAACTTGTGGGGTGTTTTCTGAATTCTTGGTCGAGCTTGAGATTGCCATTGACAGCCACTGAAGGCAAAGAAGCCATAATGGAGGCCTGGAGGTTTTCTTCAAAGGAATTGCATGCTGAGGGGAGTTGGGGAGGGAGGGAGTGTTTATCCGCTCCTCTATCTGTTTCAGATAAATTTTGTGGAGGGAAGGAACGCTCTTGTTCACTCAACTAACCACTCTCCTAGTTCCAGAATGTAATCAAATTACACTATTAGCCTTTCAATCAAGGAAAAGAATTATTTTTTTTTTTCTTCTTTTCTTCTTGGCTAATTCAAATTGGAAATGGGTGAAGGAAATCCCAATGGGAGAATAATGGTAAAAGGGAAATCTTTTATCCCCTCATTTTGCGTAGAATGTCTTTTTTATTTTTTTTATTTTTTATTTTTATTTATATAAAAAAGGGAAAAAGAAGTAGCCTAGAATGTCATTTGTTTCTCTCACAGTCGACATTTTACATTTAGAGCAAATAGTAAAATATAAATTGTGTTAATAATTTTCCAAATTATGTTAACAAGACTTTCATTTTAGCAACGGGCTTGTGGCTCAAGTAGTGGTGGATTGTGAGTTTTTAAATTTTGACATTAAATTTTTTATTTATTATACAAGTGATAGTCTAAATTATTTTAAATTATTTTAATTTACGAAAAGGAATTTAAACTTGGATGCAAAGGAGGCTGACTCACTATCCTGATAAACTATCAACATAATTTATTTTATTTTATTTACACGTACATCGTGAAAAAGTTCATTTATGATTATTTTTAGAACCTTTCTTCTTGTTGAGAGAGGCGATAACATGCTAAACACACACATGCAAAGTATGATTATTTTTAAGACCTTTCCTATTATTTTTAGGACCTTCCCAACCAAGGTATGCTAGACTTTGTTCATGCAGTACCTTTTCCTTTATACACCCATATACAGGGCATCACTTAAATATTATGTATTCATCCCAGCTAGAATGCCAGCCTTATCTAATGGATAACGTCAAATTATGGCCTTCTTGAATTAGATTGATGGTGTAGCTTGGATTTTTACTTCTAAGATCCTAATAAAGTCTTTTGTTCTTCATGTAGACACAATAAATTGATGTGGTACTTGCTGATTATTGAGCTTGTCTCATGTGTGTTAAGGTTACTCAATATATTTTATCATTTATGTTGCTGCTTGTTGGACATTAGCATGACCATGGAGCATGCACTGGTGAATTTTGCAAACAATAAATCAGTGCTTTTTCATCACCCCAAGGATTGCATTGAGCCGCGACCTTATTACTTAGATTGCTCTCACCTTTATCTTATATAATTGAAATATTTTGTTGTATGTAACTGAAGATACAATAGATAATGAAGAAGGATGCCCTTGCCCATCATTCCACAAATATAAGTCAGTTTGTTATGCAGTGGATTTTTTCGAAATCATTTGCTTTGTGGTGTTTGATGCCACAACCACTCCCAAGTTGGAGTTTTTGTTTAAGACTTTCTTCAGGGTGCTTTTCTAGTTTGAAGAATTTCTCAATAGGCTGCTGTTTTCATAAGATACTTTCAAAGTATATTAATATTTAAAGAGTATAGCCGCTCGGCTATGCTCTAATACTAATAATTTAAAAGTATAGCCGCACGGCTGTACTCTTATATATTCGAATATTTAAAAGTATCGTCCTGAACGCCACCGTTTTGGTGACATCTCCTAATATTTTGGCTCGTGACGTTGATTTACTGACACTGTGACACAAGTTCCGGTTTCCAATTCGCGGGATCCACATTCTTACAATCAACCTCAGCACCAACCAACCCAACCCCACCCACCAATACAAAAACTTAAATAAATAAATAATAAAACACCAACCCCACCCCACCGCACTCTCCCACTCACTGCACCACCCTGAAAAAAACACGAACAACAAAATACAGAGATCACAGCCATGGCGGCAATGGCGCTTCGCAGGCTCTCAAGCTCCATCAACAAGCCACTTCAACCTTTTGTCAATGGGGTCAATGGCGGCTCCATATATCACATGGTAATAATATCTTCAACACCTGAATGAGCCGCTATCTCACAACACCTGCCATAGCTTTAACATTCTGTTCTGCTACATTTCTATTGGTTTTCAAATTCGTCTTCTTTTTTATTTGCAGTCCTCTCTGTCCAGCCAAGCAGCTCAGGATAAAGAGAAAGCTCGTGCTACTGTATGTATTCATATCTGATTTGGGTTATGTCGGATCTGTGTTTGTGGTGTGTTAATTTGTATTGATGATTTTGAATCGTTTGAATTCAGTGGATAAAGCAACTGAATGAGCCGCTGGAGGTTGTCGATCCCGAGATTGCCAATATCATAGAACTTGAAAAATCTCGGCAATGGAAGGTATTGGTGATTTATTATCACGCAAGCAGGATCATTTTCATTTTGGTTTTTATTAGGCTACTTTCAATGTTTTAAATTTGGGATTTTGATTGTAATATAAATAAATGGAATGGAAAATGTTCTCTTGCGAGACTATGAATGGGATAGGCCTTTGATGAGGTTATTTTTCTTGAATGTGGGGTTCAGTCTGGAGACATAAAATAAGTCTGGCAAGAAAACATTGCCCATGGTGCAATATTGAGTGTTCAAGTTTAGTTAATGGTAGGAGAGTTATTATTATTATTATTAATTTTTGAAATTTGGTATTAATTTTTATTTTATGTCAGGGGCTTGAGCTTATACCTTCAGAAAACTTCACATCACTTTCTGTCATGCAAGCTGTTGGGTCTGTCATGACCAACAAGTACAGTGAAGGGTATCCCGGTGCTAGATACTATGGAGGAAATGAGTAAGTAGGTCTACAGTGAATATATTTTTGATCATTTTTGCAATCCTGTATGTAACTATTAAGTGAAAAAGGCAATTCCGCTTCTTCTTTTTTCTTTTCTAATTTTTTTTTGTGAGGGGCGGGGGGAAGGCTGGTGTTGGAGAAAACCCATTGCAGTGATTAAAACTGATGAGAAAGTGGCACCTATCTAGTTTTGAACTAAAGACTAAATTATTATTCCACTTGATTGATTTTTTGTTAATAAATGTAGATACATCGACATGGCTGAGTCCCTGTGTCAGAAACGTGCATTAGAAGCCTTTCAGTTGGATCCTGCAAAATGGGGAGGTAATAAAACTAAACATATTTATACATGTGGCATTGCGAACTTTTTTCTTTCCTGTCAGTTCCATTTTGTTTGCCTAAACCTGCATTGCATAAGTTTGGAATGACCTGTAAGTTAGATTGTTATACAGTACTCTTCTAGCAAAATCAAATGTGTCTGGCTATGTATCAATAAGAACACTATACCTGTTATATTTAAACTGTGAAAGTGGGATTAAAGGAATTCGTAGTATCTACTATGCTTTGTAAACTATGTCAATCATTGACTTTGATAGGTTTACAGATGAGTTGTCTTCACGTGAACTTTCTAAGTCATGTTAATTCTGTTATTGAACTTTTCATGTATTGAATAAAAAGTATCTTAAATACTTAATTATTTAAAGAAACTGCGTACTTTTTTCTTTCAGTAAATGTGCAGTCACTATCTGGATCCCCTGCTAACTTCCAAGCTTACACTGCATTGTTGAAACCTCATGAAAGAATCATGGCACTTGATCTACCTCACGGTGGACATCTTTCTCATGGTTATCAGGTGTCTACATCTTCTGTTGATTTTTTTCCAGATATATTTGGCTATATTCTCATGCTTTTGGTGGTTAACGGAGACAGCCTTTGTAGTTCTCAGTTAGTCTAGTGCTTCTGTTTTGTTAATTTTTTCTTCCCTTTCTTTTCTCCCCTGCCCTGTGAAGTATAGGAGCACTTTTCTCCATTTACACCACTGTTAAATTTATGATTAGTTGTTGGGACATGCTGATGTGGTCTATGCATATGGTCTATTAGTTATGCCAAGCCATGTGATAGCTCATCATGTTTTCATTCTAGAAGTAAGTTTAGGCTAAATTAATTGGTAGTTTTTTAAATAAAAAATACATATGCAGATATAAAAGACATTCCATGCACGGGCAGATGCAGGATCTTTATTGAGCTATATAATTATAGGCTATCTCGATGTTTTTTAAGATTAGGATTTAATGTAGGAGGGCCTAGAAGTGGTTTTGTCCAAGATTGATTGAACCTTGATGCCTCTTGGGCTGTTGAAATTATATTTTTAGGTTGCAGGAATTTTTTTGACAGAACTTACATTGAAAAGAAGAAAATAAAGGCAATCAGACCCTCAAGAAGCTTAAAAGCCATTGGAATCCTCTTATGGTTAACGACTGCATAATTGACTGCAGGCCTTTATATTAGTAATTTCCAATACTTATCCAATTAGGATTGCTGCATAAAAGAAAAGGAAGTACTAAACCACCTAGGACAAATTGGGAACTGTAGTACCAGTGGTGCGTTACCAACTTTCATCCCAACTGATTTGTCACAGGGTAGGGTTACTTGTAACATTAAAGTGTTGGGAACTATTCACGATATGCCTGTCTAGGTATATACTAAATGATAAATAATCTTTTTTTTCTTCACCATTGTGCAGACTGACACCAAAAAGATATCTGCTGTGTCGATATTCTTCGAGACAATGCCATACAGATTGAATGAGAGCACTGGCTACATTGATTATGATCAGGTGCCTTCTTATCCCCGACCTTTACTTTTCTAAATTATCATAGATTTGTATGATATGCTTGTGCATGAGACTTGTAATACTCTGGTTCAGCCTCAGAAAGAGGATGCAACAGGGTGCTGTCTTGTGTTGCACAGATATTATTAGAATAAAAAACTGCAGAAACATGTTTTTGGTAAATCAGTCTGGCGATTTTAACATGTAGATAACCATGTAAAGCAATTGTCCACATTATAAATTATCATTTCATGCATAAGAATTATGATTATTTTGGAATCAGAATTTGAATCCTTACAACCAAACCTGGGGATGTTTACCCTAAAGTCACTGAATGCATAGAACTAGGATTTTTAAGCATATCTCCCTAAATGCTTTGGCCTTTTGAGTGCCTACAGTGATTTTTTTTTTTTTTTTTTGGGTCGAAAGAGGTGCCTACAGTGCTAAGCATTCACCATTTGGATACCTTCCTGTTTCTATTTCAAGATAAAAGTAAGGGATGGAAATTGTATATTGCATGGATAAGGGTTCTATTTTGACCAATGGCTATGTGTACTCTATGCATTGTTTTCAACTTTTGATCTTTGTTTATCAAAGGCTGACCTATGCGAATAAATATGTCCACAGTTGGAGAAAAGTGCCACACTTTTCAGGCCAAAACTAATAGTTGCTGGTGCCAGTGCTTATGCACGCTTGTACGATTATGAACGTATCCGCAAGGTAGGCTTTGGTTCGACTTTCGCGATTATGACAATCATTTTCATGCATCTCTGAAATTTTTTATGATAATCTTTAAGTGTGATGTTATTGTTGTGATGTTATCAGGTTTGTGATAAGCAGAAAGCAATTTTGTTGGCTGATATGGCACATATCAGCGGATTGGTTGCTGCTGGTGTTATTCCATCTCCTTTTGAGTATGCAGATATTGTTACAACCACAACTCACAAGTCACTTCGTGGTCCTCGTGGGGCTATGATCTTTTTCAGGAAGGGAGTAAAAAATATAAACAAGCAAGGGCAAGAAGTAAGTTCCTAATGTTTAATTTTAAAAAGTAAATAAACTAAGGCTAGCATTTGGGTACCCATTTATTTTGGCTATAACTCTAAATAAGGTGGTGAAAACCTTACTACAGTTTTAGCCAAAATAAATGTGCCCAGTTGCCATCCCTAAAAAACGAAGTAAATGATGGAAAAAAAAAAGTCCCAAAATGAAGCACGCTTGAATTATAAAATGCTTGAGTTTCCTTCTACAGGTTTTGTATGATTATGAAGACAAGATCAATCAGGCTGTCTTTCCTGGACTCCAGGGTGGTCCACACAACCACACCATATCTGGATTAGCAGTTGCACTGAAGCAGGTTCCTCCTTTTTTTCTATTTGAGTACCTCTGATCATATCCTGCATCTTTTTTTCTTTTGTTTAATTGAACATAACTAAACTTTTTTTTTTTTGTTGCTTTTTTTCTTTTCTAGGTCAAAACTCCAGAATACAAAGCTTACCAAGAGCAAGTTCTCAGTAATTGTTCAAAATTCGCAGAGGTCTGATGAACGTCACTTTCCAACACATATGATGCAAATAGAAAATTATTTTTCTTTTTATATATTAAGGGTTCTCTATAAAGCAATTTGGTTGTTTCCTCTGTCTCACTAATTTCCTTCCAAACATGCAGAGCTTGCTAGAGAAGGGTTATGATCTTGTTTCTGGTGGAACTGAAAACCATTTAGTGTTGGTGAATTTAAGAGACAAGGTAAAAGGAGATTGTTACTTCCTCTGACAGGAAGATTTCAGCTGTGAAGGGCTATGATGTTCTAATTGTTTACCCGTTTCTGTAACTGGAAGATTTATTGGCCTTAGTATTGAGCATGTTAAACTGAAGGCTTACGGAAAATCATCCCATGGTTCCTTTAAAATAATTTTACTAGATGAACAACTAATTCTGGTAACCAAAAGGTGAGTCATAGGCTTACAAAAAATTATCCCATGGTTCCTTAAAAATAATTTTACTAGATGAACAAGCAATTCTGATAACCAAAAGCTGAGTCATAAATAGCCTAGGTTTTTTATAATGAATCCACAGAATTCAAATGATTTACAAAAATTTAGTCGGAAAATCATAGAACTTCCCTATAGCGGAGTGCTTGATGTTGAATTCATTGATGGATGCTGTTGTGAAAATGGGTTATGGCAGGAGAAAAATTGTTAAGATATCCTCTTCGAACTTTTTTGTGACAGGGCATTGATGGCTCAAGAGTTGAAAAAGTTTTGGAATCGGTTCATATTGCAGCAAATAAAAACACTGTTCCTGGTGATGTGTCTGCCATGGTACCTGGTGGCATACGCATGGGTAAGGCCATCTGTATTTAATTATTTTGCACCTGCTGGTGATTGGTTAAGTACATCTTTTCTGACCCTATTTTTATGTTGTTCAGGAACCCCAGCTCTAACATCTAGGGGGTTTTTGGAGGAGGATTTTGCAAAAGTAGCTGAGTATTTTGATGCAGCTGTGAAGTTGGCTTTGAAGATCAAGGCTGCTGCCAAAGGTTTACTCTACCACCATCTTGTGGATATAAATTTTATTAGCGTTTGTAATGCTTGGTCACAGATTTCACTACCATAGTTACATGCTCATGCACATGTCCTGGGTTCATACAAGTGCAGGTACTAAGTTGAAGGACTTTGTGGCAATTCTGGAATCTGATGGTGAAATTCAATCTGAGATTGCAAAGCTTCGCCACGAGGTTGAGCAGTATGCTAAACAATTTCCAACTATTGGATTCGAGAAAGAAACAATGAAATACGGTGAATGAAATCCTGACCTCACAGATCGATGTTACAGGTCAAACCCCTATCTCCACTCTGATAAGTGAATAAGCACAATGCTTGACGTAAATTGAATTATTTGAGAGCATTTCTGTCACTTTTAATACACAAAATACAATCTTGCAGATACTTTTTCTGAACCCGATTAAGTGTCTACCTCAAAGATGTTTCCTATACGAAAGGAGATAGGGATATAAAAAAATTCAATACAAACTACGAGTTTTTTTTTTCTTTTCTTCTTTTTCTGTTTCTTTTTCCTTTGCCGATTGTAATACTTGATTACTTGAAGTTTCTTGTCCACATTGTGACTCTGTTATTTCTTCTTAGTTTGTCAATAACCGATGCTATTTTGTATCGATTGGAATGTTGTCAGCATGAACTCTTGCAATTTTCTTGCGGCTAATATGGAAGGTAGTGTGTCAAGGGAGCACGATGCTTACTGCTTACTTTTATATTTATATTTCTTTCGTAAGAAATTAAGAATGGAAGATTCAAGTTTAACTTATAAGTTCCGTAGTTTAATATAAATTCAATTTTGACGAGGCAGACAGCTACTCTTTTTGAGAACCATTCAAAAGGACCACATTGTGATTGAAAAGTTTTTGGACTTTTGGCAATTTTGAAGGAAAAACCAACAAAACTGTCGTCACAGAGTGTAGCCGGACACGTAACGTTGTTGTTTTTTAAAAATATTTATGTATATATTTTTTGGCTCCAAAACCAGTGGATTGAAAAGTTTGTGAAAAGTTGCTTTGTGAGGAGAATCTTTTTGCTTTGTGAGAAGTATTTTGGTTGGGTAGTTTGTGAAGAGTAACTTGGTGTAAGAATCGTCCCTTGTTTTGTTTCTTTAAGGATGAAACAGATCCCAATACCAATCACAACACTAGTTTTGTGTGAAGTATTTTAAGATCTAACTCGTATGACGGATTCTATTGAAAGGCTTGATTGCTTGCCTGGATGAATTTGGTTGAAACTTAAAATGCCAAATTCCCCATTTTTACTGACAAACCAACGTATTAAAATGTTACCTCTTAGACAAAACGAATTCATCCGATCAAAAACACAAAACTAAAGCGGACAAAAGCCACACAAACAACTATAAAACCCACATTACTCAAATTAAGCATGATATTTGCACTAATCAGTCAAGCATAGAGAGATTACATTTCTCGACCGCATTTTAATATTATATGATGTAGCAAGTAATGTATATAAATCATTCACAGGTAGCAAGTGATGTTTACAATTCATTCATATATAATCGGATTATTTTCAAGAAATATAGGTACTTGAATCATAAGTTCTGAAGGAACGACTGAAAGAACAAAGATGAGCTTATAAATTTCATTCCACTGCAGAAAAACCATGGCATAAAAATAAATATGAAATAATAATGAGAATTTGTGAACAATCTTTTGTTTTGTTCTACCTCTCAAATTTATATTAGTTTCATCAAACTTATCTACATGAGTTAGGGTGTATGTTTGTTTGCTTAGATACCTTAATCATAGATGGAATAATACAGAAAAGTCTACATCAAAAATATCAGTTCATTAATCTTTGCAGTCGGCAATATGCTTTCCCTTCCTTGTCAATTCCAGGAATCCAATTCCAGCTAACCCAACCCCGCCGGCAATCACTTATTACTAAAATGAATGTCATTTCAGTAAATCCAAAACTGCAAAACTGTAAATAAACAGTAAAAAAGACTTTTAAAACCCCCGACACATTTCATTTCACCATTCAAACCAAACCTCTCCACTATCACTCACTCTTCTCCCCATGGCCACCACCACCACCACCCTAGAAATGGAGGCTGGCCCCGAAACCAATCTTGACGAGACCGACGATGACTTGTCGCCCATCGAAGAGGTTCGTCTAACGGTGTTAAACGAGGATGACACGTCGCTGCCGGTATGGACGTTCCGGATGTGGACAATAGGCCTATTTTCTTGCATCCTCCTCTCCTTCCTCAACACCTTCTTCTCGTTCCGCACGGAGCCGCTCGTGATAACGATGATCTCCGTGCAGGTGGCGAGTCTGCCGATCGGACGGTTCATGGCGCGGACGCTGCCGAGGACCAAGGTTTGGGTTGGCGGGAAGTCGTTCTCGTTGAACCCCGGGGAGTTTAACATAAAAGAGCACGTCCTGATTTCAATATTTGCGAATGCCGGTGCAGGGTTTGGGAGTGGACCGGCTTATGCCGTCGATATCGTGACTATAATCAAAGCTTTTTATGGTCGGAAGATATCGTTCTTCGCCAGTTGGGCACTTGTGATTACTACACAGGTAAGATAACTTGTGATTACTACACAGGTAAGATAACTTGTAATGAACTAATATGCACGTGTTATATGCTAAACGCTCAAGTATAACGCTCAAGTGTTAACTGGTTAGTAAGTTAATAAAGTTCATGAATTATATATTGCAGGTATTAGGGTATGGATGGGCCGGTATTCTCAGAAAGTACGTGGTGGATCCGGCGGCGATGTGGTGGCCCAGTAGTCTCGTTCAGGTTTCTTTGTTCAGGTAATTTCGTAAACTTAAAAAAGCTTATGATATGTAGTTTCAATTCTCTTTGGGATAGACAATCTTGTTATAACTTATAAGATCAGAAAGCCAGTTGGTAGTATACTTAATATGATATGTAACGAAGAATATATTGGATCCGAAAAATACGACAACATGAGTCTTGGTAGGAAAGGTCTTTTGCTTTTTAGCTAATGAAGAATAATTGTTAATATCGTACGATACTCAATTATTTTTATGATTGTGACTCTAAAGGCTCGTTTGATAAACCATTTCAAATTTAGATTTTAGTTTTCATTTTTTGTACTAGAGTATATAGGAAAATGAGATGAGAATAAGATTGAGAGAGGATGAGAAGGAGGAGTAACAAAAGTAAAACAAGATCTTGAAAGTGAAAACAATTTCAAATAGATTTCAGTTTTTAGTTTTTGTTTTCACTTTTGTTACCCCTCCCTCCCATCCTCTCCTATCATCTTCCCTCTCAATCTCATCTTCACTCTCATTCTCACTTCCATTCTCCCTCCTTTTCCTCTATATTCTAACACAAAAAATGAAAACTAAAAATTAAAATTGAAATGGTTATCAAATGGGCCATAAATTAAAAAATTAGTATGAGTCTTTGTTGAAAAAGACTTTTGTTTTAAGAATTTAATTTATATTCCATTATCTTGATTAACAATATTATACGGGAATGAATTATAAGCCTATAATGCATCTTTCTTCAAATATACACGAATTTTTTCATACAAAATACACAAGAGTAGTTAAAAAGAAGGTATTTATGCTTATAATACACATATTTAATGGCTATCACGCAAAATTTAAAATGAGCACAAGTGCTAAAATAAAATTTGTTCCAACTTATTTTATATATTATTTTAGGTCTATAAACAAGTTATTTATAAGGACTTGAAACCCATATGCCTTAAACATTTAATCCATGGAAACAAATATATATCCTGCACTAATGCATGCTTTTTGTTTTTGTTTTTAATTTTATAGAATGGCATTCTCTTTTTTTTGAGCTTTCAAACAATATTTATCAAATGAACTTGACTTTGGTTTCCCATATGCATGAAGGGCTCTTCATGAGAACGACAGCAACCGAATGTCCAGAGGCAAATTCTTTTTGATTGCCCTCATATGCAGCTTCTCTTGGTACGTTATGCCAGGCTACCTCTTCACAACTCTCTCCACAATTTCATGGATCTGTTGGCTCTCTCCAAAGTCAATAACAGCTCAACAAATTGGGTCGGGTTTCCGTGGACTTGGTCTGGGGGCAGTAACCCTAGACTGGTCTGTCATAGCCTCCTACCTTGGCAGCCCTCTGATCAGTCCCTTCTTTGCCATTGCCAACATCGCAGTGGGTTACATTATCATCATGTATGTGATCATTCCAATTGCCTATTGGAAGCTCAATTTGTACAATGCCAGCAATTTCGCAATCTTCTCTTCCCATTTGTTTGATTCCCAGGGCCAAATATATGATGTGAAAGCCATTGTGAATGACAAGTTTGAGATTGACATGCCCTCGTATGAAAAACATGGACTCATAAACTTGAGTGTCTTCTTTTCCCTAACCTATGGCATTGGTTTTGCTGCTGTTATATCAACCCTCACACATGTGGCCCTTTTCCATGGAAGGTTGGTACATAGTTCTTTTTTTTTCAAGGCTTTAAATTTAGTGTTTTTTCCACTAATAATACTACACAAGTTTCCCCAACTCTCTACCTACATCCCCTTTAGTTGATAGCGATTACTAGCACTTCAAGAAAGTTATTTTGCACTCATCTATTATATTTTCACACTTCTAAAAACAATAACATGGGAGTGCATGATGACTATTTGGGAATGTCGTGGTTCCTTTTTTGTTTTTATTTTTCTATGGGAAGTTTTGTTTTTATCCTCGGATATACAATTACTTTTTTCACTAAACCAAGTATTTGATCATTTAGTCAGGTACATTATTTTGCATATATATAGGTGCAAAAGTCGTAAATACATTCATAATATATAAATAGACCTATCATTGTAGCAATGAAAATGAATGTACCTACATACCCTTTTGTACCTTCATATATATTCAAAATAATTCACTTAAGAAAAGGACTTGGATCAAAATTTAATTTTAACACTCAACTACCAATGACAATTTTTTGTTTAGGTAAACAAATTTAGTGTTATTAATTATTATTGTGGCACTGATACGAATGATTCTTCTAACAGGGATATATATAAACAGTACAAATCTTCACATACTGGAATAGATATACACACCAAATTAATGAGGAAATACAAGGACATACCCAACTGGTGGTTTCATAGTTTGCTTTTTCTGTCGATGGCACTCTCTCTGGCATTGTTCATTTTCCTGAAAAAAGAAGTTCAAATGCCATGGTGGGGACTCATTTTTGCAGCTGGACTTGCATTAGTTTTCACCCTTCCAATTAGCATTATAACTGCCACAACAAATGTGGTAAGTGTTCGACTCTTGAACCATTATCTCTTTTTCTTCACACTTGTTGAAGTTTATTGATAATGGCCAGTGATGTTAACACAGCTCTTTTAGCTTTAGAAAAAATTGCTAAATAATCAGTTTAGTGTGCAGATGGCTAAATAAGAAGTTACACGCGAGACCGCTATAATTTTATATCCAATAATTTTATCTCATTTTCTATTTTGCAGACACCGGGACTAAATGTCATCACGGAGTACATCATGGGTTTGATATTACCTGGCCAACCGATAACCAATGTATGCTTTAAAACTTATGGGTACATAAGCATGGCACAGGCTATATCCTTTCTTAGTGATTTTAAGTTAGGCCATTACATGAAGATCCCGCCTATATCAATGTTCGTAGTTCAGGTATGCATTTTAAATTCTTCAATTTTGACAATGCACCTTTACATTAATTACAACAGAAAAGGGATATGACAACGGCTACTGAATGTTGTGCATCTCTTTTGACAACACATTTGCAGGTGTTATGTGCCTTGATATTGTTAAAAGTCTTATACATTTAACAACGTGCCTTTGACGTTATTGTACATGTCAATGCACGTTGTTCAAACTTATTGACAGCGTTCGAAAACTTATTTAGCCTGAATTATAGCATGAATTAGATTAGCCTGCTTAATGCTGTATTAACTGCATAATGATGAGGAGTGGTTGGCTAGTACCATGTACCAATTTACAGTATTTTTGGTAGATTGTTGATATTTTCTCGATATCATATCCTATATTCAACATGAATGTCAACATAATATCGACCATATATGAACAATGTACCATGTATCATAAATTTGCTTGCTTTAGGTATCTAATAATTTGCTTCTTTTCTGCCATTCCAAAAGTGCATAGGAACTATAGTAGCCGGAACAATCAATATCGGAACGGCATGGTGGTTGTTAGGCAGTGTGGAGAACATATGTAACGTTGAATTACTCCCTAGCAATAGCCCCTGGACTTGTCCTAATCACGGTGTCTTCTTCACTGCATCTGTGATTTGGGGTCTGGTTGGACCGAAACGAATCTTCGGCTCTCTTGGACACTACTCAGCCCTCAACTGGTTCTTCCTTGTCGGCGCCCTTGGGCCTCTCTTGGTGTGGTCACTGCACAAAGCTTTTCCCAAGCAGAAATGGATCGCTTATATCAACCTTCCAGTGCTTTTTGGAGCAACGGCTGTGATGCCACCAGCCACAACTGTGAACTTCAACTGCTGGATTGTGATGGGGATAGTTTTCAATTACTTTGTTTTCAGGTACAGAAAGAGGTGGTGGCAGAGGTACAACTATGTTCTCTCCGCTGCCCTAGATGCTGGGTTGGCTTTCATGGGGGTGCTTATATATATGTGTTTGACCATAAACGATATAAGCATATCTTGGTGGGGTACAGAAGACTATGACCACTGTCCATTAGCCACGTGTCCAACAAATAAGGACATAGTGCTTGGTCATGCTTGTGTACTCTGACTAGCTCCCATTTCAAATTAAGCTAGTACATCAGTGTTGATTTGGTTTTTTTTGGAGTTTATTTTCTGCAAAAAGGTTTGTTTGAAAGAAAAGGCATTGCAAATGATAAATATAAATTAAGTTTCATCCGTTGAAGTGTTGTCTTTATATGGATCGTATAGGTTGGTTGGTATTCATTCACTTAGAGCATTCACAATGGGCTCTCTAAATCACCTCCTTAGCTAAAATTTAGGGAGGAATTGTAAAAACCAACTTCCAACTATGCTCCCTATCCAGCTCCTAAAATAGGAAGACATAAGCTTCTAAATCTGAGGAGAGAGAAATGACCCGTAGTGACTCCCTATGATTAAATGCTTATATATTTAATATTATTTTAAGTATTTATTTAATGTCAACTATTTTTTATTGTTGCTTTTGTGTTTACACTTTATAAAAAATTGACTCTAAAACTAGAGAGTATGGTTTGAGTTGAAATTTTATAAAGAGCTCCTAAAATAGCTTTATAATGTTTTATCTAAATTTTAAGTGAAAAAAGAGAGAGCATGATTGTGGATGCTCTTATGGGCTATATTTCTCGTTTGATTTGGCCATATGCTTGGGGATATAAACAAACAATCAAAAGATGGATCTAGGAATTTTTTGTGTTGAGGGCGAAAAGTGTAAGTGCAAAGCATTTAGTTTGAAGAGAAATACCTTAAATATTAATTAACAAAATGATCCTTCATAGTGGAGCACAAAATAATACAATTCATATTTGGTAAGGTGGGTGTAGAGTTGGTTTATTTTATTTTATTTTTAGGACATGAGTACTTAGAGATTTTTGTGAATCACAATTTGACACATATGCACAAATAATTCATCAAAAACTCAAAAATAAAAAATTATGCACACATGTCAAACTACCATTGTCAGAAATGTAGGAGTTCTTACTTATAGGGGAAGGAGGGAAATATTTTCTTTTGTAAAAGGATAAATGTAGGAGTTCCTAACCTCCACCTCCTTATGTTCTTCATCTCCCAATAGTCCCAATATTTTCTTTGGTGTGTGTAAAGTTAAAAGACCAAACATTTAGTTGGCTCTCAACAATTTGGTGGAAGGTCCTAATGGGTGTGGGCGAATAAATAGGGCAAGTGGGTGTAGGGTAGGTTTATTTTCTTGGCTTTTTCTTTTTATGTTACAGGAGGTCATTTTGTAAAAGGTTATAAAATTATCATTAATAATTTCATTAATGATGGATGAATAAATATGACAAGTGTCTGGAAATAGAAACACTCTCCCTAAAGTCAAATTTCACATCTCCACGCAGGTTCTCACAATCACACTGAAAAAATACTTTCTATTAATTGTTAGTTACTACAAATGACAATCAAACACAATCCCATTGACAAACGTTTTTTGTTCCCAAAATCAATTTTACAGCAACTCATGCCCACTTATATATATATATATATATATTTATCTCAAGGAGAATGAAATTCAAATGATTAAAAGCATGTAACTCTGTAACCTAAGTCCTAATAAATTCGATAAGTTAGATTTCTTCCTTCTCTAATATCGCCCGTACAAAAAAAAATTCACATATATTAGTCAAATTAGTCAAAAGATTTGTTGCAAGAGATTGAAGTCAGTGTGACGCAGCACAAGCAACAAAGGTTTCAAATGAAAACTTTAAGTAACAAGAAATCTGGATTCCACCAGAAATTGAGAGTAATTCTCTTGGGATAATTTTTATTCAAATCTGAGTTACTAAAAAAGCGTTCACCAAACCTGTCTAAATACACATCTCTCAACCATTGAGCTGCTAGGGGAGTTATTACATTAAAACTGAAAAGTAGAATTTATTCCGGAAATTAACTACGAAACTTTGAATGCAGTTTTGGAATGCCAAACGACCTCAAGATGCCAAAATCCATCATACATCACAGCAAAGCAGTGAGTTTGACTTGTGGCGTCGTTCCCTTTCCGAAATGGTATTTTGCGTCCTAATCGGAGCTCGGACGACAAATCTGCAAATTCCCGCCACGTCATTTTTCTAGCTCAACCGCGATAAAATCCGTCATTTGTTCTACATCACAGTGAGTGAAGGCATACTCATTTCTGAAGCCATGCATTTGTATATATTCATCCTTCCTAAATACAAAAACCCAAATAACAAAAACAAAACAAAAAAACCTCGAACAAGTCCTGCAAGAAACCCATATATTACATATATTATATATATTTTTGGATTCCGACAATTTATTTTCCTTGTTCGAAAAACCCTTCCTAATATTATTAGCTGCAAACAAAGTTAATGATTCATATAAATCTCAACCCCGAATCAAATATGATCTTGGATTTTTTTTCAACATATGGTAATAATAATGCCAGCCAATATCAAATTTGAATCTCAAATTAATTGCTTGAAAGAAAAAAAAAATTAGTATCTCAAATTAAACCAAACTTCCATTTCTTACAATTGAAGATTAACCAAAGCTGTCGATTAGTAGATAAATACCTAATTAATCAATTAAAACTTACAAAACATTTTTTGTTTTTGTTTTTGTTTTTTCTTTTTTAAAACCAAAACCCAACAAACTCTTCTCTTCTGCACTCTGCGACACTGCCACTCACACACACACACACACACTCTCTCTCTCTCTCTCTCCCTTAGCGCCAGCCATGTCCGCTCCCACTCTGCACTCTCTCCCAGACGACGACGCTTCACCCGTCGAGGAAGTTCGCTTGACGGTCTCGAACGACGACGACCCAACCCTTCCAGTATGGACCTTCCGGATGTGGGCCCTGGGCCTCCTCTCATGCGTCCTCCTCTCCTTCCTCAACACCTTCTTCGCCTACCGCACGGAGCCGCTCGTCATTTCGATGATCTCCGTACAGGTGGCGACGCTCCCGATCGGACGGTTCATGGCGAGGACGCTGCCTACAAAGAAGTTTCGGGTCGGGTCGAGGGAGTTTTCTCTCAACCCGGGTCCGTTTAACATGAAGGAGCACGTGCTGATATCCATATTCGCGAATGCCGGAGCCGGGTTCGGAAGCGGGGCGGCTTATGCAATTAGTATTGTGAACATAATAAAAGCGTTTTATCATAGGAATATCTCATTTTGGGCCAGTTGGATACTTGTTATTACCACGCAGGTAAACTTAATTCGGTGCTAATTTATAATTACTGAGATAATTGATGGTAATTAGTGGTGGTTAAGTGCAGGTGTTGGGATACGGGTGGGCCGGAATTCTGCGAAAGTACGTGGTGGATCCGGCTGAGATGTGGTGGCCGAGCAGTCTCGTTCAAGTCTCTTTGTTTAGGTAAATAAGCATGTCATTTTGCTAAGCCACTTTGTTTTGTTTCCTTGACGTTCCAATTCTTGTAAACAATAATGCAAGCGTCACCAATTTAGGGTTAAGGACCAATTTGGTTATACAATATACGTTACTAGGGAGTAACGGATAACTTCTAAAGTGGACACTCTCAACCTCACAGAAGTTTTTGTTTTTGTTAATGAAAATAAAATAGCTGACTTATTTTTTGCTTTTGCGGTCAGATAAACAATTTTTTTGCCTCTCATAATTTTCTAAGAAACATAAAAAGGAAACTTTTTTTTTTATAGCTCCACTGCAGTTGGATGTAAATTGTCGAAATTATATGATAATAATAACTTCTTCTTTTTTGTTTATTTGTGTTTTAGTCTCTACTTGTGGGAGTTAGTAGCATTGTATTTGTAATTTTGGGCGATGTATTTCATGTCTTATTTGCTCAAGTGTGTGACTGTTACATTCAAATGTATATGGTCTTCTAAGGCTATTGGTGGAGATATAAGTTGTGTGATGTCGCTGGTGTATCCTCTTATGTATGAATTCACCATTCGTTGTTACTGTATATTCATTTTTGTATTAATCCTTTATGGATATTTGGTCTTTGTGCCCAATTATTGAATACAATTATCACTAATTTTAAAATAAAAATATAAGGACCATAACAACAATTGTACCCCTTTTTTTTACTTCAAAATGACACATTCTAATTTCATATTTCCACGCGCCAAAAGAAAACGTTTTTTTTTTCCTACAAGATTCATTAGGTCATAATCATTTGTGAAAAAAAGAAGTACTGATTTATTTAATATTTTATAGCTCTAATTAAACAACCCATTTAACCACCCATGAATATTTCATGCATGCATGCACGTTTATTTTATTTTTTGAACAATTAATTAACAAATCCTCTAATTTTTCGTTTACAATGTGAAGGGCTCTGCATGAGAAAGACAGCAAGCGAATGTCAAGAGGGAAGTTCTTTCTGATTGCCCTCATCTGCAGCTTCTCCTGGTCCGTCGTCCCAGGCTACCTCTTCCCAACTCTGTCAACAATTTCATGGGTTTGCTGGGTTTACCCAAACTCAGTCACGGCCCAACAAATCGGGTCGGGCATGCGCGGGCTGGGCCTCGGGGCATTTTCGCTTGATTGGACCGTTATAGCCTCCTACCTTGGCAGCCCTCTGATCAGCCCCTTCTTTGCCATTGTCAATGTTGCGGCTGGCTATCTTCTTGTTATGTATGTGGGTCTGCCAATTGCCTATTGGGGCGTCAATTTGTACAGTGCCAAGAACTTTCCAATCTTCTCTTCACACTTGTTTGATCACCGTGGCCAGATTTATAACGTTTCGGCCATTGTGAATGACAAGTTTGAAATTGATATGGCTTCTTATGACAAACAAGGGCGCATAAATTTGAGTGTTTTCTTTGCCTTGACTTATGGTATTGGTTTTGCGGCCGTTGTATCGACCCTCACGCATGTCGCCCTCTTTAACGGAAGGTAAATCAATTGAGTGTTGCTATTTATACCATCCAAACTAAACTTGTCCCTGCACAAGACGCTCACAGTTGATTTAATTTATCGTGATTGTTCAAGTTTTTGGTATTTGACACTCTTCCAACAGGGAGATATATAAGCAATACCAAAGAGCTTCACACAGTGGAAAGGTAGACATACACACCAGGTTGATGAAGAAATACAAGGACATACCTAACTGGTGGTTTCATCTTATGCTTTTGTTGTCTTTGGTGCTCTCTCTGGCGCTGTGCATTTTCATGAAAGATGAAGTGCAAATGCCATGGTGGGGACTCATTTTTGCAGCTGGACTTGCATTAGTTTTCACCCTTCCAATCAGCATTATAACTGCGACCACAAATCAGGTACCCTCTCAAACTCATAAGCCATTGCATCATGACATTGGATGCTGCTAGCTATTTGTACAATCTCAACTGACCATTCTATTCGTAACATCCCAAGTTACCATATAATGCGCCACCTCTAAATGATACAATTAATTCGATGGGAAATAAAATTATCTCTATATTACACAAGAGGCACTCACTACTCGAAAACCATAATGTTAGTTCAATTTGGTGTGAGTGTTAGCAAAAGTCACAAGTTTTTCGTGGCTAGAATAAGTTGTCACGGATAAGACACAAATCACGTAATTGTGGTCATAACTAGGTGTTGTCATATAATTTTTTATATTTTTATGTATATCTAGTACGTGGCCTCTAGAGCATTGGGACCCACCCATGAATTGAAGACAGAACAATCTGTCAAACGAGAAAACTTAATATGAATGAATTGGAACTTGTTGCATTTCTTTGGTAACTTAAGATGTAATGTATATCTTTAAGAATTTCTGTTCCTTGCATTTCTATTTGTCAGTCTCCAGGACTAAACGTCATCACAGAGTACATCATGGGCTTGATATTACCTGGCAAACCAATAGCCAATGTGTGCTTCAAAACCTATGGCTACATAAGCATGTCGCAGGCAATTTCCTTTCTCAATGACTTCAAGCTAGGCCATTACATGAAGATCCCTCCCATATCAATGTTCATAGTCCAGGTATATCTTCTTGTCAATTTGACTTTTACTAATTACTAGGACATGAAACATATAATGTCAAAATTAGACATAACTGAATAATTTCGGTCGGAATTGTTATTCGCACTCAAAAATATAAATATAAATATGCAGTGTAAGATGACTATTTTAGAGTGCTAATAATTTCCCGTTTCAATTTGTATTGTGTTGCTAATTTGCTCTTAACTGCTTCACAAAATTAAAGTGCATAGGAACATTGATAGCGGGAACAGTCAATGTTGGGGTGGCATGGTGGCTGTTGTCTACCATAGAAAACATATGTCAAGATCAATTGCTCCCTCCCAATAGTCCTTGGACTTGTCCTGGTGATCGTGTGTTCTTTGATGCCTCTGTAATCTGGGGTCTGGTTGGACCTAGAAGAATTTTCGGCTCTCTCGGAAACTACAAAGCCCTCAACTGGTTCTTCCTAATTGGTGCATTGGGGCCCCTCCTGGTGTGGTTGCTGCACAAAGCTTTCCCAAGTAAGAAATGGATCAAGCTGATCAACCTCCCAGTGCTTTTGGGAGCAACAGCTGTAATGCCACCAGCTACAACTGTGAACTTCAACTGTTGGATTGTGGTTGGAGCAATTTTCAACTTCTTTGTTTTCAGATACAGAAAGAAGTGGTGGCAGAGGTACAATTATGTTCTTTCTGCTGCTTTAGATGCTGGAGTGGCTTTCATGGGGGTGCTTTTGTACTTCTCATTGACCATGAATGAGAAAAGCATATCCTGGTGGGGAACAAATGGTGAACACTGTGAGCTGGCTACTTGTCCTACAGCCAAAGGTATAGTTGTTGATGGTTGCCCTGTGTACTAAATCTCATTTCAAAACCTATAATTACTTTAGCATTTTAAAGTTTTTTGCTTTAAGTTTTAAGTACGTTAATTGGAAGAAAGGCATTGTAAATATCAATCAAGTTTCATCTATGTAGTGAAGTTCACAGTGGGAAATTCTTGCATAAGAAGATAAACAAAGTTCATTGATCAAAATACACACAGCAGTTACAATGTTAATTCAAATCCTAAAATAAGACTCGATTCTGCAAACTAGTTAAACCATTGAAGCTCTATAATAACCAGCATCAACACCAGTATTTTGTGTAAGCTTGAAGTTCTGAAGGGGCAGCATCAATCTGGAACACATTAAAGGCACTTGAATTCATCACATTTTGTAAGGAACCAATTATATAGTCTGAATACTCAAACATCCTAAACCGCTTAGCCGCTAGGGCTTCTGCTTTCTCTGGTCCAAGATTGGTGTCTCCGATGGGAGTACCATCTTGCAGAGGTATATTAGACCAGTTATGATTTCCTCTATTCAAGTATCAATCAAGGCCAAACGGATCAATTGGGTCTCCCCCAGTAGGCAAATCTTTACACTTCAATGAAGGATCTTAACATATATCCTCATCCTCTGAGTTAGGATCTTGCTCTGTTGACAATTAGACATTAATTCCTTTGATCTACTCATGTCGAACATTGCATAATTATTTTTTGAAAACAGCTACATCAGCTATATATGAGAAATCATTCCAACAATTAACTTCCTTGTTTCTCTACCTTATATCTTCTATAATATCACCAAATCTTGGTGGAATATTCTGGTAGGACTCAATTTTGGCTTCAAGGGTGAGTCTGTCTTCATCTCCCTCTTTCATTCTTGTAAAGTTCTGAGCTTTAGGACATCAACCACTTGAACCTTCAAAGATCCTTCGAAAGTTTTTGTTTTTAAGCTCTAGGATCGTCTCTAAAGTCTTTCGTTGCATGTTAAATACATTTTTGTTATCTAAATGCTTAAATGAACCAACGTTTTTTTTTCAAAAACTGTACCTTTCCCTCACCATGTTTCTTGTAAAACACTTCTCCATCATTATCCACCCTATTAGTAGAATAATCAGTATTTATCTTGAGCAAGTAGACCTTAGATCCAATGACTACATCCCTTGAACTATTGTTATCATATTCCAAAACCATCAAGAGATCAGCATGCATTTCCCAAATGACAACGACAACCTCATCAACATACTCAACCGACAACGACCAACCAGACTGGTTAACATGCTTGTTGACGTTTCTCAAAAACCTCATAAGATCAGCATATGCATCAGACCATCATAATTAGTATACCCCCTTAGACAAAACAGGATGCGAAAAAGATCAGTCCCGATATAATATATAATAGATGTGATTTTAGTCACAAAAGTTGGAAGAAAACAGTCACAAATGCATTTTTGTGGGCTATGGATTGTGTGAAAAAGGCTATAGACTGTATGATCCTAAGGCTAGAAAGATTATCTTGTCTAGGGATGTCTATTTTGATGAAGAAGCCTCATGGACATGGGAGAATCCTAGCAATGCAGATGTGAGAATGCCTATGCCAGATGGAAATCAAGGTACTGCAGAAACTGAACAGAAGGTATTAGATGAACAATCTCAGTTTTTGGATACTCAAATGCAGATGGAAGAAGAAATTGCACCTCAAAAGGAAGAAATGCTTGATGAGACTCAAAGGGTTGATCACACACCTCACAAGTGGAGGAGTATTAATGACATCATGACACAATGCAACATGTGCATTGTAGAACCTGACAGTTATTGTACTCCCCTCTCTCTCTCTCTCTCTCTCTCTCTCTCTCTCTCTCTCTCTCAAGAAGGGGCTCTTAAACTGCCAATGATATTCTGTACATCATTTTGTCTAGCAATCATATCGGATTGTTTCTGTCTACTGTATCTGGAAGGCAAAAAAGAAACCAAAAAAACTCAACGGTTTTTGGAAATTCTTCTTGCCCCCCATGAGTCTCAAGGCTTCTTCTGCCAATGCCTCTGCTGCTGCTACTTTGAATATCCCCAAGTGGCTGGCTTTATTTGTTTCTTGTTAAGTAAGTTCTCCCTTTCCTGTTTGGTTGCTCCTTTTGGAGCTTTTGTTCCCTTGTTTTTTGGGTTGCCTTTTGGGTACCCAGAAAAGAAAAATAAATATTGAAGCACTAATACCAAGCAGCAGCAACAGAGATGAAGATAATAATAGTCAAAAGATTTGTTGCAAGCTTGCATTCATCCCTAATACAAAATGTCCAAAATAATTTTCCCAAGGGGAAACCTTTAATTCTTTTTATAAATTTTCTTTAACAAAAAATTCATCCATTATATATACATATATAGTTACAATACCAGAAGATGAACAGATTAATCTCCTTCACTTCCCCAAGTAGAAGAAGTTCATAAACTAAGAGTGGAGATAAAATATCAACCAGGTATGGCCACTAATGTATAATCCAATCTTTATTACTTATCTCCATGTGATTTGAATGAAGGGGCAGCATATCTGGATGAGAAGCTTCGTTGAGAAGAGTCCTCATTCATTTTGTCCCAAGAACCATCATCAAAGTTCTTTTCATAGCTCACACGATCATACCGATAACCGCCCTGATTTCCGACACTTCTCTGCCTTGTGGTTGCCTGTCGTCCGAGTTCTCTTATCCATGGAAGCTTCAACTTTAGACGTCCCCAGCAAGAAAATAAACCTTCCTTTCTATCACCAGGAGGTGGAATTCTATCCATGACTTGTTCTTTTACAGTCACAAGTTCCTGCTTAGTTTTTAAGTGATAAAAGAATACATAGACTCCCA